CGCCGCCGAGCGTCTCTGCCCGCCCCGGCCGGCTCCCGCCCAGCCCGGGTTTGGCCGAGGTCGCGGCGCCTCCGCCCAGCCTGGACCGCCTGCGCTCGCCCTCCGCGCCCGGAGCCCGAGACCCCGGCACCCGCTCTGCCCCGGCCGAGACGCCCTGTCACACGAACGCGGGGGACTCGCTCCCGGGCACTTCCGCCCCTTCGGGCTGAGGGTTCGAGTAGCCCTGCAGGAACGGCGTTGCCCCGACACGCTGAGCGCGTTCTGCCGGCTCTGTCAATGCCGCAGGTCCTAAAAACCGCCCTCCGCGCCCGGAGCCCGAGACCCCGGCACCCGCTCTGCCCCGGCCGAGACGCCCTGTCACACGAACGCGGGGGACTCGCTCCCGGGCACTTCCGCCCCTTCGGGCTGAGGGTTCGAGTAGCCCTGCAGGAACGGCGTTGCCCCGACACGCTGAGCGCGTTCTGCCGGCTCTGTCAATGCCGCAGGTCCTAAAAACGGGGTACCCCGCCTTGTCTCTGCACTTCCAAGCCCCGACACCCACGATCGCTGTTCCTTGGACAACTCCGTCGATGTATTGATAACTTTGAGAAACAGGAAGCATTGATGGTCCTTTTCGGGAATCGCTGCTAACTAGCTGATTAACATTTTTTTAAAAATCGAAAGGCTTTCGGAAGACAACGCCTACGGCTGGTGGGGAGACGACCAAGGGAAAGTGAGCTGTTTGGGTGCCAGGCTCCACGCGGAATCAGCTGGGCGCCTTCGCTCCAAGAAGAGGTGCTGGAGACCAAGGAGCAGGCAGCCCGTGACCTTGAGGCAGATTCATGACCCTGGCCTTCGGCTCCAACGGAGGGCAGGCCGGGCAGCCTGGCAGTAGCTCCTTCCCCAAGGCGCTGGCGTCCTCATCCCAGCGAGGACCTTCCCCACCAGCCAGGCCAGTTTCTGGGCCCATGACCCCTGCCCAGGAGCAAAAACAAAGCAATCGGAAGTGCCTACCAGCACTCCCGGTCCTGGCAGAGATCTTAGAGGTGGCCCCAGGTGACAATCTACTCACACGCAAACACACACCCAGGCTACTACAGAGCTAGGGGGCTCATTAATATCACAGCCCCGCAGAACGGCCAGAGCTGAGGCGATGTTCCTCCCCTCTGGAGCAAGGTGACAGTCTCAGTGAGGTGTGGGAGAACAGAGTGGCCTGCAAGCACTGTATTTCAAACAGGAAAGGAAAGGAAAATCCGACACTTGTCAGGGAACTGCCAGAGTGCAGGAGGCCTGGGGTAGTACTTGGGAAGCCACGCTCAGACTCTCAGTTTTCCACAAAGCAATGTTCTTCACACAGTCATGGATTATTGAAAAAATAAGAGTGCTAACCCTGTACCCGGTTCTCTTCTCAACAAAACACTGTAATCTAGTCTAAAATTTTCCTTTGAAAGTTTACTAACCAGGCCTGGTCTTGGTGGTGCATGCAGAAGCGAACTGATCTGCAGAGCTGGAAGCCACTGGGCCTCCCAGGGTTCTGGTCCCAGCAGACCTGAAACACACCACACACCATGCCCAGGACCTGACTAACTGGAGGGCCAGGGAAAGGAGATCGCATGATGATTTGCTTTCAGATGTCTCTCTCTTGAGTTCTCTCATAAAATAAAATCAATTTAAATAATAGCAGTTCACCACTGTCCCAATCACAGCAGCGTAAACTGGCTGACAGTGCTCCTCAGCAGGCTGAGGTCACGTGGAAGGCCTGGGTTTTGTTCCCTGCCCACCCTAAAAGCCAGATATGGTGGTGGGTGCCTGTAATCTCAGCTACTTGGGAGGCAGGAGGAGTAGGACAGAAGAGACCCTGTCTGGGGGAAAATTGTTTTAAAAGCAGTAAGTATGCTAGATCTTATAAACAAAATGCCACTTAATAGTTCTGTTTTACTGATAGCATCGTATGATTACTGCTAATAGACCGATTAGATGACTCAGTGCCAAGAGAGTGGATTAGATACACCGCAGACTAATTAAGAAGGTTTCGAGGACTGGCTACTGTTCCAACATGTCTAACTGCTGCCCCATAGCCATGGCGCTCTCTCCTCCTTCATCCTACCTCATCCCCTTCCTCTGTCCACTGGGGGCTCATAATCGTTGTTACATCTTAGACTTAATGTCACAAGTAGTTTCATTTACCAATGAGGATAACCCGTGTGGTCTTCTAATAATCTCTACGTTTGAGAACAAGGGGTTCAGGGAGCTTACATGATTGTTGTGTATTTAGGAAGTTACTTGAAACGTGTCTATCTGATGGTGGAGCCTGGGCACTCAGGCCTCACGCATCAGCTCCCCTACCACAAGGTGTTTTTGCCTTATCAAGGGGCCGCCCACACACCCACCCCAGGCTTGTCATTCCTGTTGGAGTGCACGCACCGTAGCGAGGGAGGTGGACTTTCTCAGTCAGTGTGTCTGCTTTCTGCTTCCCCCATCTCTTCCGTTCTCAGTCTCAGCGTCACCTCCTGGCCTGCTGCTCGGGTTCTCCTGTGATCTTGGGGACCCTATGGGTCACCTTGGAGGTGGTGGTTTGGGGGGAGTGCCCGAGCAAGTTCTAGAAGGGGCACTTTAAGTAGACAGACTCCAGGTCACTCCATCTTGGCTACTCAGAGGCCTTTTTTATTTTATTTTTCTTCCTTTTGGTTGGGTTTAGGCAGTTACTATGTCAAAGAAGTAGCCTATGAATAACAAAGTGCAATTGAAGATAAAAGTTTGAGGTCATAGAGACAGAGACTAAAACATATGCTTCCAGGACTTCGTGGCTGCCTATAGTATAAGGGCGGGAAAGGCAAAATCAAGCAAGCAAGGTGGGCCTTGCCTTATACCCCTGGAGCCTGGACTGTACTGAGATACCTGCCTGCCCACCTCCAGTCCTCTTCTAACCCACCATGAATGTGGTTCTGCGGTCACCGTCATCTCAGGCTTCAGGGAACACCAAAGTGTCAACTGTTCCACCCCAGGCTTTGTATTCCTCTGGGGGACCACTAGGCTCTCCCTCAACTCTTGTATTTTGACCTTACTCTTCACTGTCTGTTCTGCAGCCAAGGACAGGGCGGGCGACAGGAATGTTTGCGGATCAATGGATGGATGTGTGGTTTCCTGGCTGTCGGAGCAGCCAGCCGACTCGTGGCTCTCTTCTTTTTACACATAAGTCCCCATGATCTAGCGTGTTCCGAGCCTGTACGGG